CGTAAGCCCTGGCAACCAGGGGCAATGTTGCTCACCCAATCCCTGCCACCGAAGGCTCAACCGGAGTTGTCCTCGCCCTTTCCATACCCTGGATCCTCCACCGGCTGTAGTCAGTGTCACAGCCATGTTAGTCCAGCCTCAGCCTCCACCTTTGCCTCCGGATTCCGTGAAGCTGGGGTGTCCGGGTTGGGGTGTTCGGCCAGCGGTGTGGGTGGTACGCCGCGATGGAGAGCGTCAGCTTTCCAGGCTAGCCGAGTAAAAATTCGGGGTGTTGTGCGAATCCCGTCTTTGGCTTGATCACGTCGTCTCGTGTGGTCTTGGTGGATGATTCATGATGGTTATGCTGCTACAGGTGGCGTCATATTTCCAGGCTAGCCGAGTAAAAAACTCCGGGACTTGCGAGAATCCCGTCTTTGGCTTGATCAGTCTCTTGACAACAGACTATCACGGTCAAATGGCGACGACAAACGGGCGCTCTTCCAAATTGGCTTACAAACAAGAACACGCGATACTCAATGGAAACATGGATTGAGAAATTCCAGGTAAAGCAGCAAATTTATTGTCTGTTGGCGGCGCTATGGCGGCAAACTGATGCGGATATCTGTATTACTCAAACAGATCACGGAGATTACAGCATATGCATACAACAAGTGCATAGACGAAGCAGCTGCAAGGCCTAGCGAACAGGCTACTTTGGCATGACTCATTCGAGGTGAACATTATATCGGTGGCAAACACAGGCGACATGACCTTTTCGCGGATTATTTATATGCGGCATAAATCTCAAGCTTTTCAAGGACTTGTGCGAGACAACCTTAACCCAACAAATAAGCAATGTCAGCAATGTCAATTTCCGATATGATGGCAACAAAGCTGGGCACACCACAACTATTGGACCATATCAGCATCAAATCAATGAGATGGCAAAAAAAAAACTGGATCTACTGTCTGCTCATGGCAACAAAGCAACAGGGGCTTGCCGCAACAACAACAACGCTCAATCAACAAAGGTGGTAACTTCAAATGGTGGCAATGGAGTACAAAAGGGCACATCATGGACGTTTGGCGACAGCACACATGACGGTTTGTCCGACGAATCAACATCATTCAACAAGACGACTACTTCTACGTATCGCTGCTTCTGGGGACAAAAAAAAGCAAAGAATCAAGGGAACAGTTTTTAATCAACGAAGGGAGCTGATTTATTATCTCCATGTACGACATGAACGTGATAATAATTAAACACAAGCGCAAGAGCGGCAAGAAACTAGGACGACATACAGCTAAATTTGACAACATTTGCAGCGGTGCATGATGCGGAGCAGCACATTCGACTGGTCGAGTACATGGAATACACAAATCGCCACTACGGTAACCCCGTCCTATCCGTTATTACGTTGCGGTGACAAGAAACTAAGCGACAATTTCAGCCCACAATCAATCATCAACTATTTTATTGTGATGGCAAAAAAAAAACAAGTGGCAACAAGATGCAATGGGCAACAAATTTCAGATCGCACACTTGGACGGAATCGGCCCGCAGCAACTACGAGCGACAACAGGGCGCGATTGACACAAAAATGCGGGCTTGGCAACAACATAACAAGGGGCAGCGAAAACGAACCTTGACGACGTCTCGCAGATACTACAATTCCAATTTCGCATACAATCATTTGTCCAAGGCATATTTACCTTCACGCGTAGGCATAAGGCGAAATCATGGAGCGATGGCCTCTTAAGTGACTAAAGATGCGAGAGCAATGAACTATTGAAAGAGGCAGTTCCGAAAATGCAGCAAGCACACCTGGCTATTCGATCGGACAATGTTAAATTAGCAAGGCGACGGTAGCCATATCAATCTCTTCTTCTTCTTGGGACAGCAAAGGTGTGACGCGACAAATTTCAACTAAAAATGGAGCGTCATTCCAATGGCGGCAAGAACCATCAAGGACGACGAGTTCAACTGCTCAAACGAATCTGCAACGAATGCTCTTGGTGCTGAGGCAATTATCATGGCGGAAGATTAGCTTGCACTTGCCGCAATAAGTTATTGATGAGGGTCCTTACAGGTAAATACGTGATATCAAGCTAAAATATGAAAATTATGAAGCAATCAACAACACTTGGATCATGCGTACTTAACAATTCTCTCTTGGTTAGGACGGTTGCACACGGTACTATGCGACGGTACCTTGAATATAGGCCTACACATACGCTCTCACGGCATGCCAAAGGATAGCACAGAGGAGATAGCGAGATACGATACTTGCTACTCGCCGTTCACTATTCGACAATAACAAGAAAAACTTGTCCCCAGAGCTGTAGACAGTGGCTATCCACATCGAAATTGCAGTGGAATCGAGATAACGCCAAGCGTAGCAAACAGATCGTAGTATCTGTATTATGGTAAGAAGCAGTCTAAAGAAATGTAATTGTTACATTCGAATCATAACTAAGTAAAATTTCACTTAAATACAGTGTAGTAAACTATCTACGAAAACTTTTTTACAACGAAGCCCTGCTTCCCGGAAGTCCCGTACAAGTCTCCTCCGACAAATGACTGGTAAGTTAATGTCTAGGTAATGATAGCTCCCACAAACATGACAGATAAAAAAAAAGAAAAAAGAAAAAGAAAAAAGAAAAAGAAAAAGCAAAAAAAAAGACAAAAAAAAGGAAAAGAAAAAAATACAAGCAACAAATGGCACAAGATCGGAAACTGAGGCGGAATCCATGCAACGAACCATACCATTGCCAAAACAAAGAAACACTATTTATGGTGCGAGACGCTTCAGTACTACATCAAAAGCCTACAGTAGCAGTACTTTGAAGCGAGGTTACGACGAGATGTATATCAACATTACATTATAAATCGGCATCGACACTACTGCAACACAATTCATCTTACAAAAATGACGCAATTGCGCAAGTAATACAAGACGAACAGCCGATCACGAATTCAAAAAAGCGTTACATTCAAAAGTAAAAGAAAAAAACAACATTCGATATCAAACTGAATACCAATGTAATCATCAAAGAAATCAACGGTAAGTAGAAGCAAAGACGATGCCGTGTTTAATCTTTACGACGAGATCATCAATAACCAATATTAAAATACATCTATATATTTAGTCTAAACGAAAGCTAAATCAAATATCGAACTCACAATCATCAAGAAGCATTATTACAACGCAAGAAAAACAAATGTAATCGGATCGAAGGCAATATCATCTCAAGAACGAGCGGTGCATGAATCCTACCATAATGCACCAACTCAGTGCGCCAAAGCAACTTAAAACATGTCACGCCTCACGAAATGAAAGATGTGGAAGAAAACCGAAACTGAAAGATTTTAAAAGTTTATAAAAAAGAAAAAAAAAGAACAAGGGGCTATCATTACCGCAGATAAGAACTGACTAACATTTGTAGGACTGGAGATGAGGACATAATATTTCCTAGCAGTGGTATTTATATCTACTAGTGTATAGAAACATTTATTATTCGAATTACTTTGTGCAATAAATTTTATGCGTTCAATCAAATCGTACATCAAAATCTCAAAAGTGACATGCAAACAAGAGCATTTGCTACGTAGAGAGGTTGTTCACTAATAGATTACATGACCGCGCCGAATTCCCATCATACCAGATCAAGATATACATACGTACCTGCGGAATAAAGGTATTAGTGTAACGTGGCTTTCATAACCTTTCAACTACGCATTATGTCACATGCTCCATCAAATAGATAGAGAGGGATTCACCCAAGACCACTGAGATGCTTACATAATAATTAAGGGCAGGAGAGACGGTAAAAAAGAGTAAGTTGGGATGTGTGATGAGATTACACATATTTTAATACATGATGTGTGCCTAAATGATATATTTGTATCATTATAACAGCATAGCCCTGCGATATACGTAGTATATGTACATTGTGTCAGTCTCGCTTTTGCTATGCAACTAACGGTTGTGATGTGTATAGCTCTCGTTAGATAGTAGTATCTGTATCAGAAAATGTAACTTATATGTATGCCGTAGCTTCTCCTGATAGCTTGTACTGTATGCGACTAGGCTGCTAAGCAGTGTATGCATTGTTTATGAGATGAGTAATAAATGGCCCTTGTATGTTACATAGCCCATGTTCCATAATTGCAATTCTCCAGAATCAAAGTTGCCTGCTTATCATATGTATGCAATAAAATCTATTATGAGGTTCACCCTCTCTTTCTTTCTACATGGCACCCTTCCAAAGATATAAGATTCATGTATTTCCAATGATTCAAGCTCAGGAAAGTTTTTATGTACATCTATACCTGCTTCTTGTTTATCTTCAAGCCACTAGCCCAAAGTCTATTCCATGGACACGTCGCCTTGGAGATTGACATGCTTGTTCTTATCCTGACCATGTTTTTTGCTTGGATAACACTATTGAAATGGGCAAAGGCAAAACTACTTATTATAATCAGAGAGTCGGACGGTTCATTGGAATGACGTCTGACAACCATTACTAATATCTTTTAATAATTTCCACGGGCGTAGGAAAAAGCGGGATAACTCTCACCCCGCTACAATGGATTCGATCAAACCAGTGCCGAGCACAATGGCGTCGAAATCAGTTTCGTCGAGTAGTTGAGGGTTTTCTTTTGACATTGACAAGGAAAAGTACACGTCCCAGGTTAGGTTTAGGCGGAAACAAAAGAGGATTATCAAAAGGGGAAACGTGGACTTTGGAATATATAGTTCGTTTCCTTGACAACAACGAAAGCTCACCATATCGAACCTCTCCCGTTGTTGCCTCTCGAGACTCATTACTTTAACATTTGAATAACATTGGCCGGTGCTTGCCAGTTTGAATCAGTTGGCAAAAATTCTGGATGACTCTGCCGCCAACAAATAAGCAGAATATCGCCCCTAACTTTCATCCGTACAAATCATTCACTATGAGACGATGCCGTGAAAAAGTGGATTAAAAACATGTTTTCAAGGTTATCCATATCGACAAGATTACTCATCAGCAGTTCAGAAGGCAAAAAGACACAATAGTTTATTCGTACATCGACATACACTGTTTTTTTTTTCAATCATAGCTGTTTCTCATAATGATAATGCAATTTAAATATTTTTGCCAAACTATCAAGTGTTTCCGCCTATTCTTGACTTACCATGATGCCTCTTATCGTTGGTCAAGATAAATTGTCACCCGACATGCTGTCGCCACAAACTTTTGTATTTCCTTTCTATGGCAACGCGTAACACAGCCAAGGATCATCTGTCAACACTCCCTAGCGATATACAACACATAGTTTTCAGTCATTTGACTTTTAAGGAACGATGGCATTATGCCTCTGTATGCAACGATTGGCGCTCTGCGATTTTGGAATGGCAGGGCATGTGGGAAAGTTTGTCAATGGACGATGGGCACAACATCGTACCTGACCTCCTCCCGTATCGATCGTGCATCCGTGGATCTGTTGTAAAACAAATACGCGTGCAAGCCAGCTATGACAGAGATCATTCGACAGCTGTAATTAATTTCTTAACCGATCTGAAATGCGACGCGATTGAAGAAGGTACGTATAACAACATAACGGTTGCTACATAATAACACTAAAAACTATTGACAAAGTTGAAATATGCTCCAGCCTTGTAAAACAGTCAGATTTCCTAAAGTTAATTGGTATATGTGGCAGCACACTTGCCCGCGTTTCTATCGCACACGACGAAGAGGACCAGACCAATACCACCCCTGACATGATACTGTGTCATTGCCCGAACCTTCGCCATCTGTCCTACTATGGTTTCGTATATGGCGGTGAACAAAATAAACCACAGTTGGCGCCATCGTTCAAACACCAGCATCTCGTGGGCTTGAGTTTAGAGTTTTGTAACATTGATAAGGAAGGCAGCTTTGATCCGTTACCGTTCCTGAGAACAGCAACAAATCTCCAGCGACTCTCCTTGTGCCTGTGTAATATCGTAGCAACTGGCCATTCGCTTCCGTCGCTTTTACGTGAGCATTGTCCAAAACTTGTATCTCTTTTCCTCGCCGGTTATGAGGATGGTGGAACACTCGACCAGGCAGCATACGACCAGTGCGAATAAAAGTCGAAAACAGTGAACAACCTCTCAACTACCAAGCCTACAGTGAACCCCCGCTTTTTGCAACAGCGGGAATACCGTCAAAAAAGTTGCAAAATCTGAGGAACTGCAAAATGTGAATATGTTACACAAGTGGGATCGATAAGCTGGCAATCACATCTTTCCTTATTTAGTTTAAAAGCTCTTAAATAATAGAATACAATAGTGTATCTCTTTTGTCACTGGTTCGAGTCTCACTGTCTCTGAAGTGTGAGATTAATATACAATATATAAGGCTAAAGCGGGAAATTGCAGGTCCCGATTTCCAAGTTGCAATCTGCAAAAACCGAGGAATCTGCAATTTTACTAAGTGTTGAGCGGGAATCTGCTCAAAAAAGTTGCAATAAGTGGGGATCTGCAATAAACGGGGGTGCAAAAAGCGGGGGTTCACTGTATATCTTCTTCTTTGGAGCGACTTGCTTTGCACGATTCGCATGTGTTACAATATGACTATCTCGATGTTTTGAGCACTAACTTAAACGATGAATCGTCAGGCTGTATCATATGAGAGGCTCGGCCACTTTAATTAGCACGCCTATCATGTGCCGTCAGCTGGAGCAAGTACCAAATTGATACTGAAGATGTTGCTAATTTATCCAATAAACCGTAACATGGTGCCATTGTTAAGTATACTAAATGACCATCAAGAGGCACATCATGGCTCGATGTTTTGTTGTCGTTGCTGACATTGTCTATGATATCCTGTCGTGTAATAGTCAAAGAAATAGACAAGCGTCCCGCACTGTTTGCAGTACTAATTCGTGGTACATGTACGACAACGTAATCCAAAAAACTTCAAAATAATAATTAGTGTCCGCGAAGGATCATATAATTTGGATACTTACAATAGAGTCTGTATCCGCCCCATTGTCAAGCACTCAGGAACGTGATCACAGGGCGATGATGTACTTTCAATTATTTGATGGTGGTGGCGATACCTCACCACGTACTATGTACATACAGTTGTAGCTATTTTTCAGTGCCATTATCATGTATTGAGTTCTTGCTTCGATCCCATTCTCCTGGCTATAGCCTTTCTTACCAATCCACTCGTTCTTTTTGTTGATTCATAGATGACGGGTTACGCACAGACAATGATCCTATCAAGCCATCAATATCGATTATTTACATATATATACTGCAGCATCTAGTAATTGTGCCACAAATAACTCGTCAGCACAAATCAAATATGGCTGCCTTGAAGCACGTCAGTATGATAAGAGCCTGGATGAGCTCGACATGGCATAGCACGCTTTATTCATTGGCTAGTTTTTTGTTATTGTTGCTATCTTTCGTCTTTGGCAAGCCAGTGCCAGTAAAGGAGGTCATCATCCTTGTTTTACATGATTGCTTCAACGTAGCCCTATTGCACATGCATTGTTCGAAAAGCTGAAGCCAAAGATCAGAACAAAGGGAGCATAAAGGAGAAGACACAGAAGCGCGCGGTTCACTGTGCATGCTCAACGGCAGTGCATAATACAGGTATTCCATCTTCGCATTCTGGAAAAGCGTACGTGGGCTTCAAATGTGTCTTTTGTATGTTTGTAGCTTATACAGATGCCGAGAAAAGTGAATCAAATATACAGTAAAAAGAGGGATGGATCATGTATATACAAGTGGAGAGAGAAAGAAATTGGCGATTTAGAAAATAGAAAGATCCATAGCATGGGATATTCAGTGAGACATTACTTGGCATCGATTTCATATATTTTTCGCTTGGAACTGGCTTTCGGAGAAGGCATGCAGGGAGGTATCGGTGATGGAATTAAGCCATCGTCTGTCGGTAGAACAATGTCGTCGTCGTCATTGATGATGGCAAGCGTGTTTTTCATGATAGTTTTAGCCTGCCACACCAAAGAAAGAAGAGGAATGAACATTTTTGAGAACTGTTCAACAGACGAAGGGAACTCGTATAGGCCAAATTTTTTAATTCTCACTACTGAACTATTGGGGCAATCCAGAATGTACAAGGTCAGATTCCTTCCTATTTAGAGACTTGTGTTAATCGAAATTGAGAATTGAAATAGGGTATTAATCATTAACAATAAATTAATAAAAGGTTTTAATAATTATATATAAATAATTGTTTAAAAATATATAGGAAAAAATAAAAAATTAGATTATAATTTTTTTATTTTTGAAACTTTTAACTTTTTTTTTAACTTTTTTTTTAATTCTTTAAAAGGTTTAAGTTCTGTATAAACCTTTTTAAATATTTTAAAGTGATATATCTTTTAATGTTTAATGTTTAATTTAAAAAGTGGCGGAATGGTAGTGAGCATACCCTCCTCTACCTGAGGAATACTTGGACAATTGGTAGCTTGACAGTGAAAGGAATAACAAATTAATTAGCAATTTATTGCTAAATTAATTGTTATGGATTGATACTCATAGAGAGATTTGGATAAGTTAAAAATCGATTTCGGGACCCCAAGGTGAATTACATCTTGCAGCTCTCCATTTGGTGCATGTTCTCCAAAATCAATTTTTTCCTATTCCTATAACTCTTTATATGTCTTTCACGTGAGAATTAAAATGGGAGGCAATGTGAGTACTAGATTATGCTTACCAGTTACGATGAAGCCAATGACCTTAAGGTCATGGGTCCTGGTTGGCGCCATCTTTGACAAACTTGCCAGCATGTCTTTGAGCGTTCTTGGAAGCTTTAGTCTCCCTTCAATGGTAGCTTTTGTGTTGTGCTGGTCGTTGGAGCATGTCACTTCCAGACAGCCATACTCATGAGCCCCATTAATGAAGATGAGGTCAACCTTTGTTCCTACTAGCTTTCTGTCCAGTAGACCCTCATCATCTGTCCTCCACGCTTCATTCTTTCTTACTGAGGAGCTAGAACTGGCCTTTTCACCAGTACATGCCAAAGTGATTGGTAAGTTAGGGTGATATAAATCATTAGATATCATGCCGTCGTATAGGTTCAAATACCTTTGCACTCGGAGCTTTGACTCATAGAAGCACAACTGGATAAATCCCCATTTCTGGTGAATCAGATCAGCTTCAATATCATCATTGGCTGGCAGAATATCATATAAGAACAAGTCTAAGATATTGATGATGGATATTTGAGCCCAGTACAAATCAGCTTGTTCGATGGGGTGGGGGTAATGGGTTTAACACGAAACAGTTATTTACATATCCTCCTTTAGAAGGAAAGAAAATAAACATACTTCTTTCCTTCTAGATAGGATCTTATTCAGACATACCTTTTTGAGGTAGATTCTATAAGTATCATTATTCAATGAGAAACTAAATGTCTTTACTTTTTTTAAAAAAAATAGTGTTATTTAATTGATGCTATCTAATTTTATTAATTTATTAAAAGAAAATGTTTACAAAAATGTCTTTTAAAATCTTAGCGATCGCCCTATTCCCCCTTTGTATCCTGCGATTAACTTTAAACTTAGTTTGGGTTATTTCTAGTTATTGGTTTAAAATACTTATTTATAGATGTAATAGATTATTACAAACTTATTATTCTTTATTACAGAATAATATTCTATCTATTATTAAGTTTATTAAACATAAGTATTACTATTCTACAGATAAAAATCATTTTAGATTTGCATCTGTATTTTTAATTCCTAATAATCTAGTTGATTCTATTCATCTTTATTTTATAGAATTTATTCACTTCTTAAATAATAATCTTTCTAACATTTTTACAGGCTCTTTAGGTTCAGTATTACTAGGTTTATTAATTTATATTAGTTCTGCCCCTAATTCATCTAATACAAATCCTTCATCAAAAAATACTTTTAATGTTAATTTTGGAGATGGAGGTGCAGGGTCAAATAATCATCCATCAGATAGTAATTCTAATAATGATAAACTAATTACTTCTCCTGGAGTTGCTGCGGGAATTATTTCTAGAACAACAATAACTGCTGCAGTTAAAATTGCAAAAACAAATCCTAGAAATGGATTGTTTTCAGGTGTTGTTGGTACAGGATTTTTCAGTCTCCTAGCAGATGTTTGAACTTTTATTTAGACAGAAGGGATTTAATTTTAGGCAGAGTGGACATGAATGTTAATCTGAGTAGACATGAATAAAAGTTAATCTAGACATGAATAATAATTGATCTGGACATGAATGAAAATCGAGCTGGACATGAATGAAAATCGATCTAAACATGAATGAAGATCAAGCTGGACATAAATATAAATTGACCTGGACATGAATGAAAATCGAGCTGGACATGAATATAAGTTGACCTGGACATGAATAAAGATCGATCTGCACATGAATATAAAACGATCTGGACATGAATATAAATTGACCTGGACATGAATATAAATCGATCTGGACATGAGTAAAATCAATCTAGACAAAATAAAAATCAATCTATACATGAATGAAAATCGTTCTGGACAAGAATAATAATCAATCTAAACATGAATAATAGATAACCTGACCATAATAACAGTCAAACTGGACATTGTTTTAGTCAACTAAGACATAATAAAAGTTGAAGTAGATAATACATTAAGTATAGCAGAGCAGAATATTTGAGTACTTAAGATTTTCAATTCAAGTCAAGACATAATAGAAGTTAAGCAGTACAAAGCCAATGTCAAGATATAGTAGTATGGCTGGTTCACTTGTGACCAAAAGCTTGTAGGCTAATGAACAGGAAATAGCAAGGGTGCGTCAGAGACTCACTACTGTGTGCATAAGCCTATTTTGCTGCTGTGGGAATAGGGCCTGAGCGTTTCCCCTCCATTCATTTTACCCGTAACACAAACTGGAGGCTGGTGGCTGAGGTAGGTGGAAAGTGTGGGGTTTATTAGCAGCAGCAGGGAGGAAAAAAACAACAACTAAAGATCTTTTTTTTTCTCATTACCATTTGCCACGGCAAATCAACAGCTTCGACGCACACTTGTAAATGGCTCCTACTCTCTTCACGATGAATAAAAACAAAGAAAACAAAACGGCACAATCCACGGATTTATTGAAAAACGAAATGAAGGTAACTGTTTTCTTAAAAAAAGCATGTGCTCAAGATTGATAAGGAGTAGACCGCCGTTACTGCTGCTTAAAAAAACGCTGGGTAAGTGAACAAGGGAAGGAAAAGGTTACTGGTTGTGCTTGGGGTATAGCTTTAGTAGACATACGCTCATTCAGAATTACTGTATTTTTTTCTTCTCTGTATATACTTGATGCACCATCTTGCACCATTCCAACGTCAGACTTGCGTGCGTAATACAACATCGTCCTCTACCTGCACAAACGATTCGTACTCACAACAAGAACGACGCAACAATCTTCTTCTCTATTACTCATACACTATCATATACAACATCACGCTGATCTGCCATTGATTTGCAAATATACAGCCTGACGCGATTACCTTTCACTATCATGTACGCCCATATTACACGATGACGACTATGACGCCGGTCTTTTGTTTTAATACTAGTACGCTCAAGCACATCATCATCGTAATGACGGTCATCTCTTTCTTTGCTGTTTGTATACACACCAACGCGATGATAATTAGATTCCTATGATGCATACACACCACCACAACTATAACCCTCCTCTGCAATTCGCTGTACTCGCACACATACGATGGCAACGACGATTACCTTTTTCTTTTTGCATATGCTAACACGAACATTGCCGGTCTTGATGGATAAGGTAGTTATATATGCTGACGGGTGGAATGTAGGGTTTTATTATTGCTACTGTAGATGTTACGGCTGGGATAAAAAAATAAAAGCAAAGATCATACATTATGTAGTTATTATGTGTCAGTTGTCTGCATAAACAGGTGTGAGATGGTATTGCATGTTATTACAAGTGCTTCTATAAAAACTATAAATATAGCTCTGAGCGGTGATGATAATATGGCAGGGGCAAAGAAGAAAACGCGATTGTTGTTATGAAGGAGGAAGTTTTTCGCTATTACAACAGCAACTAGAACAACCGACAAGTTAGTACCCTTGACGTCATTCGCTACGCTCTCTCTCACTCGACTGTACGTGGAGTTCTTGCACTCATTCATAATGAAATCGTGTGCGTTCCTACTGCTCGATGGCAGATATTCAAGGATCGCATCTCGGAATTGTGTGGCTACAAATAGGTTCACAAACGCGAGACTGTGCATGGCACCAGACGCTCTGCCACGCAATATCAATAATTACAATAACCATCCTTCACCACGAAACAACATCCTTTGCACTTGTATAACTCTTATAGAACCTTCTTTTTTGTCTTTCTTATATATCGGCCATCATACTTTATTTTCATCCAATCTACATCAACACAAACGGAAAGAAACGCGTCAGTTATCCTTCTTGCTATCTACAGCTCATTCATCTATAAAGACCGGCGATGTTAACATTGTTATATACAAAAGGAAAACAGTAATCGCGTCAGGCTGTATGTTTTGCAAGTCAATGGCGGATCAGCGCCATGTTGTATATGATTGTGTATGAGTAATGGAGAAGAAGATTGTTGCGTCGTTCTTGTTGTGAGTATGAATCGTTTGTGCAGGTAGAGGACGATGTTGTATTACGCACGCAAGTCTGACGTTGGAATGGTGCAAGATGGTGCATCAAGTATATACAGAGAAGAAAAAAATACAGTAATTCTGAATGAGCGTATGTCTACTAAAGCTATACCCCAAGCACAACCAGTAACCTTTTCCTTCCCTTGTTCACTTACCCAGCGTTTTTTTAAGCAGCAGTAACGGCGGTCTACTCCTTATCAATCTTGAGCACATGCTTTTTTTAAGAAAACAGTTACCTTCATTTCGTTTTTCAATAAATCCGTGGATTGTGCCGTTTTGTTTTCTTTGTTTTTATTCATCGTGAAGAGAGTAGGAGCCATTTACAAGTGTGCGTCGAAGCTGTTGATTTGCCGTGGCAAATGGTAATGAGAAAAAAAAAGATCTTTAGTTGTTGTTTTTTTCCTCCCTGCTGCTGCTAATAAACCCCACACTTTCCACCTACCTCAGCCACCAGCCTCCAGTTTGTGTTACGGGTAAAATGAATGGAGGGGAAACGCTCAGGCCCTATTCCCACAGCAGCAAAATAGGCTTATGCACACAGTAGTGAGTCTCTGACGCACCCTTGCTATTTCCTGTTCATTAGCCTACAAGCTTTTGGTCACAAGTGAACCAGCCATACTACTATATCTTGACATTGGCTTTGTACTGCTTAACTTCTATTATGTCTTGACTTGAATTGAAAATCTTAAGTACTCAAATATTCTGCTCTGCTATACTTAATGTATTATCTACTTCAACTTTTATTATGTCTTAGTTGACTAAAACAATGTCCAGTTTGACTGTTATTATGGTCAGGTTATCTATTATTCATGTTTAGATTGATTATTATTCTTGTCCAGAACGATTTTCATTCATGTATAGATTGATTTTTATTTTGTCTAGATTGATTTTACTCATGTCCAGATCGATTTATATTCATGTCCAGGTCAATTTATATTCATGTCCAGATCGTTTTATATTCATGTGCAGATCGATCTTTATTCATGTCCAGGTCAACTTATATTCATGTCCAGCTCGATTTTCATTCATGTCCAGGTCAATTTATATTTATGTCCAGCTTGATCTTCATTCATGTTTAGATCGATTTTCATTCATGTCCAGCTCGATTTTCATTCATGTCCAGATCAATTATTATTCATGTCTAGATTAACTTTTATTCATGTCTACTCAGATTAACATTCATGTCCACTCTGCCTAAAATTAAATCCCTTCTGTCTAAATAAAAGTTCAAACATCTGCTAGGAGACTGAAAAATCCTGTACCAACAACACCTGAAAACAATCCATTTCTAGGATTTGTTTTTGCAATTTTAACTGCAGCAGTTATTGTTGTTCTAGAAATAATTCCCGCAGCAACTCCAGGAGAAGTAATTAGTTTATCATTATTAGAATTACTATCTGATGGATGATTATTTGACCCTGCACCTCCATCTCCAAAATTAACATTAAAAGTATTTTTTGATGAAGGATTTGTATTAGATGAATTAGGGGCAGAACTAATATAAATTAATAAACCTAGTAATACTGAACCTAAAGAGCCTGTAAAAATGTTAGAAAGATTATTATTTA